CAGCCTACATGTAATTCCAGCCTCAGAGGGTGGAGACAAGGGGTCCCTAAAGGAAAACATACAACAAAACAGATATTATCCCTACCTGTGTTGCAAACTCTGCATTTGACTGAGACACCTGCCCCAATGAATAAAGTAGAATACCAATCGAGGAAAATCTCTGATATCAATCTCAGGCCTCTACATGTTATCCCCCCCAACATGCACCCATACACATGTCTACTTCAGGAGAGTGTCACAATTAAACGGTGAAACCCATTAATTAATTTAATTAACAATAATTGTGCCCCACATAAAAACGCCATGGGCTATAATACTGCCATTTCACAAAGCTACATGTAATTCACTTATTTTACGGACGAGGCATTTACAACAAGGGACAGACAACTAAAGACTGAGCCACAACTAATTATGTCTCCAGAGGCTTAAGCCTGGGCTCCCATGCCCATCTATTGTTGCAAAGGTGAAGTTCACCTCAATGTATCATCATTTTAGGTTTCTAGGGGTGTCTGACAAGCATTTACATTTTCAAAAGGTTTTTAAAATAATTTCAAAGCTCTTATACCCTCTTATTTGCCCTAAAAAACAAGCAACCCCTTAAAAGGAAGAGGTGTTTGAATCACTGCCCTGTTTTTGGCATTTGTGGTACCCCTGGCTTCTATCTCCTTTTCCTATTATTTTAAATTTTAACATTGTAGCTACAAGGCAAAGTCTGTTGCTAAATATATTAGTTATTTCCCCCATTGCTGTGACAAAAACCTGATGAAAGCGACTTTAGGAAGGAGGTTTATTTGGGCTGGGGATAAAGTTGTCATGGTTAACAACTAGCTCCATTTCAAGCTGACTTTCAAACTAAGTTACTGTGTTAAAAAGAAAAACCCAGGAGTGGAAAGGATCTCCTTCTTAGCCTAATCACAGGATGTCTAGACCCTAAGGTCAGCCCCATTAGGTTGAATCTTGACAGCAATCTTAAAGTGAAAACTGATCTCAGAGCCACCTGGCTCATCTCCCCAAATTGCTCTCCCTTCCCCTTATTATGTAACTGTCATTCTAAAATATTAACCAGAAATCTACTCTGCTTCTGTAATCTTGCTTAACTGTTGCTTGCTCTGGAAAAACAAACGAAAAACATGATAATGCCTCATGAAGCAGAAAATCATGCTGTTTCTCAAAAAATGGAGACAGTTGTTCTTTGTACTTTAAAAAACCCAGCCCTCCTTCCCCTTTTGCAGCAGCTCTCAGATTTGCTAAGGAGGCTGTGGTTACAACATTGGTATAAATTAAAAAAAATTGTTTTTTTATATTTTAAATTGAAGTTTTATTTTGTGGGGGTCTTTTCCTGGTGGTTTTATAATCTGAAACACATTCTTGTATGACAAAACTTTTCCTGGGTAGGGGACATAACACACATTTTGACTCACTCCAGATAGGGAACCCACAACAGACCAAAGTATGGATACCATCTAAGTCCAACCTGGCACATCAATGAGTTTTATTGAGATTACTTACAGAAATATGGGTGAGGGGTTCCTTACAGGAGTTCCTTACAGCACGGGTGACAGGTCACAGAGCTGGGAACCTGGAGCTCTCTTCATGCAGCCTGCAGGCCACTCCACAGGATGGACACTGTCCTTTCCAGGCTCAGCTGGTCTCTGACTCTTGCAGGCAGCTGATCTGGCCTCAGGGGCTTTGCAGCTTTTCTCCTCTGAGAGTTCTCTCTGTGTTCAGCTTCATTTCATCTCAGCATTTCAACTTCCTTCTGTCTGAGAGAGACAATCAACTTTTGTTGATTACTCTGGCCAGGAGAGGTCTAGTGAATCTGGTCAGTTTCAGGGACTTCCTGAGACTATTTCTAGTTGTTTGCCTTTCTGTTTAAAGAACTTCCTGCAGGGTGGACTGTTTTGATCTCAGAGGGAACTGTTACACAAGCCTGTTATAGCAAGAAAGGTGTGGTAGTGGGTGTTATGCCCAGTCCACAAGACACCCAGAGAGACCACCAAGGAGCTGACTCCCTGAATGCAAGTGCACAGGGTTTATTAAATTCAAGCCTAGGCAAGGATCTTGTCCCACAGACTGATGGCAGCAGATGCACGAGAAGGCCCCAAGCCTCATAAGTGAGGGATTTATAAAGGCAAAGATCACAGAATGGGGTTAGGGGTACATTACGGGCTCGAAGCTGATTGGCTGCAGAGTTCAGGGGGCTTGGGGACATTCCAGAGGTTTATCTCTTGTACCATTTGTGCCCATAAAAGTTGTTTCTCAACTTTTGGGGTTAGTTGCCCTGAGGTCTCCCCTTCCTACCTGTTGGAGGCTGTTTGTAGTTATCTCCCCTTCCTGCCTGTCATTTGCTGCTGTAACTTACTCAACTGGCAATAACATGGAGTATGGAAAAAAAGAAACTATAACATAGATTGAATACTTAATGAAATAGGTAAACTAGATATAGGTTAGTTAATCACTAAACTTTAGAGTCCTTAAGGTATAGAACAGGAAGTAGTATCGCTGGGTCTAATGGAAGTTCTATTTTTAGTTTGGATCAACTTGAATTCCTACCAGCAATGTATGAGAGTTTTTTATTCTCATAAGATTTTTTTTTAAATGATAGCCATGCTGACTGGAGAGTGAGATGTAATCTTAATACAGTTTTAATTCCTTTTTCCCTGAGGCTCAGAATGTTGAACTGCTTGCACACTTACTGGCTATTTATGCTTCATTGTTTTTGAAAGGGAGGGGGACGCTTGTGGCAGGCTAGTGCTTGGATTTAGAGTGCATATGCACATACTTGCACGAGGAGTTCGTTCTCTCCTTCCTCCATCTGGGGCCCAGACAATCAAACTCAGTCCATTAGCCTTGCAGCAATCACGGTTACCCGCTGAGCCATCTTACTGGCTTCTTCCTCTGAGAACTGTCTATCCATTGTGTTAGTTATTAATTGGTCCCTTTGGCTTTTATTGATGTTTAGTTTTAAACTTTTTCATATCTTCTAGATATTAACTTTCTGTGAGATATGTAGTTAGCAAAGATTTTCACTCATCCTATAGGCAATCTCGTCATTCAGTTTTTCCTTTGTTCTGCAGCAGCCACTTGTCAGTTCTTACTATTCTTCCTAAGACACTGGAATCCTTTTTTAAAAAGTTCTTGCCTAGTCAGCTGTGGTGGTGCACGCCTTTAATTCCAGGACTTGGGAGGCTGAGGTGTGTGGATCTCTCTGAGTTTGAGGCAAGCCTGGTCTACAGAGTGAGTTCCAGAACATCCAGGGTCATTATACAGAGAAATTCTGTCTTGAAAAACAAAACAAAAAGTTCTTGCCTATACCTATATCTTGAAATGTTTTCCTACATGGATTCAACTAGAGATCAACATATTCAAGAAATTAGACACAGAAAGGTGAACATCACACTTTTCTCATTTGTAGGCACTAGGATTCTTTATAGATATATAAAGCCATTTACACACACACCACACACACACACACCACACACACACACACACACACACACACAACACGGCATCAAAGCACAAGGAAGACTAGGCAAAGGGAGGAAACAAATGGGAGGTGGGAAGGGAAGGGGAAGAATAAAGCTAATGGGATAGGGGTTGAATACAGTCAAAATGGATGACATCCCTAAATTTGTCATGAAGCCTGGCACTATGTGCAATGAATATACAGCAATTCAAAACTCAGTAAGTATTTATGTAAAGATTTAAAGTTTTCTTCTCTATATCTAGGCTTTCTTTGTTCACTGTTACTCCCAAATTTGGCCAAATGGTTTTTATGGTTTCATCATTTTTTCTTTGTATTTTGTTTTGTAAATTTATTTTAAAAGATGTTTTCATATCTCCCCCCAATGTATGTATAAAGCAAGCTGCCATTCCATTGACTCTTTAAGATGCAAACTCTTAATAATATTCAAATGTCCTCAAATGATCAAAAGAAAAATGTCAAAACATGAAGTTGACCCCAATACCTTATGGTAAATTAAAAAAACATGGTATTAAATTTTTTAAGATTTATCAATTTACTTTTAATGTATAAATGTTTTGCCTGCATGTATATATATGCACTATATGTGTATTTGGTGCCTGCAGAGGCTGGAAGAGGGTATCAGAGCCACTGGAACTGGAGTGACAGAGGGTTGAGAGCCACCATGTGAGTGCAGGGAACCAAACTGGGTCCTTTGCAAGATCAACAAATGCTCATAACCTCTGAGCCATCTCTCCAGCTCCCTACTGCATTTTTAATATGATGGAATAGAGCAACAGTTATTTTAGTTTCCCTAAATTCTTCATATATATTATTAATAATCTGTGAAAGGAACCAAACTGACTTGGAAAATCAGTTGACTTTGAAATACAGTTGTGAGAACTTAAAATGCCAGTCTGTGTACTCCGTTAAAATGGAGTATCACCGGGGTTGGGGATTTAGCTCAGTGGTAGAGCACTTGCCTAGCAAGTGCAAGGCCCTGGGTTCGGTCCTCAGCTCTGGGGGGGGGAAAAAAAAGACAAAATAACAAAAAGACCAAAAAAAAAAAAAAGGTAAAAAAATGGAGTATCACCGCTGCTCTTCCCAGCACAAAATGAGAAGGGCTTTTAAGATTAGCGTGAAGAAGCAAGGATCCCCTCTGGAAGGCCAAGATCCAGAAACTGGACACAGGCAAGTAATCTCACAGTGAACAGCACAAGTCCTGAGAAAGACATGAGGTGCCTGTCAACCTTTCGGGTATCTCAATGATCGGTGGCGCATTTCTTTCCCACCAGAGTTCATGGAAAAGTCTACAAGAGGCTCAAATACTCACGCTGCCCTCTTGCCGCAAGCGGCTCACCCGCGGCTCGCCCAGCCACGCCCACTCGGCTCTGCCCAGCACGTCCCGCCCCTTCCGTCTTCCACTTCCGGGTAACAGCGCGCCTTTGCGCCGCCTTCTCAGAATCCGATTGGCTGTCTCGTTAACCGCTAACCGCCGCGAAGTTTAAACAAATGCTAGTCCGGGTCTAGGTGAGTTGTAGAGTTGTGGCTAGCCCCGGAGCTGGCGGGGCGGTAAGTCGGCGCCGGTGAGGCCAGCAGGGCCGCCGCGTCTGCGGAGCCCGAGCCCTTCTCGGCTGGTTCCCTCGGCGCTGCAGTCCTCCCCTCCCCGCCGCGGGGCGCTGGGTCTGGAGAGCTGGCGTGGGATCCGGGCCGCCACCTCTGGTCTGCCTTTGAGTTCCCAGCTGGGCAAGGGGTCGAGCCACCAGCTTTTTTCAGGTCAGTACCCCGAGGGAAGATCCGGATCCCTGTGACCGGTCTGTACCGGGTCTGCTACGTCTGCCTGCGCGCTGAGAGCTCCCGCACCTCTGCCTAGAATGGAGAACCCTGAGCTTGGTTTGGATCTGGGATGCTCTCTGGATGAAGGATCTAATTCAGGAGAAGGGGCGGTGGGATTTTGGTTTTAGAGAGCTGAGACACTGGTTGGGTGAGAGTTGCAGAGTAATAATGAAGGAATCCTGAGTGCGGACCAGATAATCCAGTTCCAGTTCTGGGCACTGCGCATCCATTAGCTCAGTTCCAACCAGGGATTTAGCCTTATGTCCTGTATCCTAGTATACTTGGGAATTGAGACTTATAGATGTTCAGCTCATTTGGGTAAAATGTTCAACAATCGGAACCATTACAAGTAACTCATCCTGGATCCATACCCCAAGGGGTCTGGTTTTGGCTTCTGTTAATGCCTCTTGGTGAAGTCATTGATGTATTGGGCCGTTAAGGGAGACTCTAGTTTCTAATTTGAGCATTTGAATGGGCGACAACGCCATTTATTAAATTAAGGGATTGCGTCAGAATCAGCTAATTGGGAAGGAAAGTTCGGGTGAAATTAATTGTTTTTGGGGGGAGGGAGGGCTGGAGTATTTGAAAGACAGACTTGGTTTTTATATTCGGTTCCCTTTGGAGTGTGTTGGAGGTGACAGTTTATTGCTATGTGCTGCCGTCTATGGGACAGCAGTCATCTTTGATTTTATACTTTCTGGTCTGGGAGTATGTATTGCCTGTGTTCTTTTGGGTGTAGTTAACCTCTTTTGGTTGGTGTTTTCCTTCAAATGTAAAGAGCTGTATTTACTTTCAGACAAATTTGCTGAAATTTGGTTTTCATCATGGAATATCTTATTTTCTCCATCTCTAGTGATTGAAAGTTTTACTGGGTTTGGTAGTCTGGACTGGCATCGGTAGTTTCTTAGTCTGTCAGGCCCTTCTGACTTTTAGAGTCTCCATTGAGAAGTCGGGTGTAATTCTAATAGGTCTGCCTTTAGGTGTTACTTGGTCTTTCCCCCTCTCATCTTTTAATATTCCTTTATTCTGTATGTTTAGTGCTTTGATTATTATGTGCCAAGGGGATTTCTTTTCTGATCCAGTCTATCTGGTGTTCTATATGTCTCTTGTACCTTGACAGGCATCTCCTTTTGGTTAGGGAAATTTTCTTCTATGATTTTGTTGAAAATATTTTCTGGGCCTTTGAACTGGGTTTCCTTCTCCTTCCTCTCTTCCTGTCATTCTTAGATTTGGTCTTTTTAGAGTGTCCCTGATTTCCTGGATTTTTGTGTCAGTTTGTTAGACTTAACATTTTCTTTACCTAGGTATCTGTTTCTTCTATCGTGTCTTCAGTGCCTGAAACACTGTCTTGCATTCTGTTAGTGAAGCTTGCCTCCATGGTTTCTATTCAGGTTCTTAAGTTTCTCATTATAGATTTGCCTCAGTTTGCGTTTTCTTGATTGATTCTATTTCCACTTTCAGGTCTGCAATGGTTTATTCATTTCTTTCCACTGTTCATTTGTTTTCATAGATTTCTTTTAGGGATTTATTCATTTCCTCTTTATAGGTCCTTGTTCATAACCACTATAATGTTCATAAAGGCTGTTCTAAGATCTTTTTCATGTGCTTCAGATATGTTAGAACACTCAGGACCTGCTGTGATAGGGTTGCTGGATTTTAGTGGAGACATATTGTCCTGGCTGTTACTGTGTTTTCACGCTGGCATATGAGCCTGGATTGGGAAGATTATAATAGTTTTAGCTGCTGATGTCTGGTCTTTGTTGGGTGGGTGTTTTATCCTTGGTTTCTGTTTCCTCTCTGGTTCTTAGGAGTGTGTTGTGGCTGTGTGTTGTCTGGAATCCTGATTGTTGTGACCACTGGCGGGTTCAGGTAAAATGTGTTTCTGAGTATTGGGAGCTGACATTTAGGAATAGAGATGTGCTGGGAGGTGACTTAGGAGTTCCACAGGAGGGAGGAAAGCAGGATGTTTTACCAGGATCTGTTTATTTCTCTGGGAATGGAGATAGACAGGGAGGAGAGGCCACAGCAGAAGGTCTGCTACAGAGGTGTGGTGAGGCGAGGCTATTGGATCTGGAAGAGAGGTGAAGATCTGCACTCCGCCTACCTGTTTACCTGATGTTTTATATTTTCTTTTGGCCAAAACTTTAGAAGAGTTGAGCTTTAATGTTGAAACATTATTGTGAACTTCTTCCCTGTTGCAGAAATCCAGCAAGCCATCTTCCCAATATTTTGCTGACAGCTTCCAACCTCTGCTCAATGCTTTTCACACACCTACATTTCAACAGTGAACAGATTTTTTCCTGTTGAAGAGTTCTTCCATTTGTCCATATTTGTTTCTATCACAGATGTTTATCCCAGGAGCTGCTATGTGCCCGGCACAAAGAGTCAGTAAGAGTTCAGTAGCAGACAAGTTTGACAAAAATCTGTGCCCCCATTGAGTTTACATTTTAGTAGGAGAAGAGAGATGATGAAATTATTTTGAATTTGGAAGGCTCATTAAGAAAGTGACATTTGAACAAAGACTTGGGGCAGCATTGCTATAATCTCTGTTCTTCCCTGTGAAGATGCTTGTGATTGCATTCTCGTTCAATGAGAATCTCACCACTGGATTCTTAAATCTGCAGACTAGACATAGATTGGGAATCGCAGGTACCTGGTTTGGTCATTTTCCAGCCTGCTATAGGACCAGTTACAGGCTATAGAACTGGAAGAGAATTAGAATGAGGAAGATAAGGATGATGGGATTCTTGTGATAGACTTGAAAAGAATAGTGAGAGAGTTCTGTGGACTCAAAGCAGGTAGTAGTGGAGTAGTTGAATATCTAGGGTAGGAGGGTGCAGGTGACAGGGTTTTTTTTATAGGTGTATACATGTGGAAACAAGGAGATGTGTGGAGGGAGTATAGATTTGGGAGGTTGGCCCCATTGAAACACAATGCCCAGCATCGCCTCCATCTCTGTTTTCTCATCCGGGAAAGCACTAAGCACTAACCACTTCTCCAATATCTTGTGTGTTAGAGTTAGTATTCTTGTCCTATTGTATGATTGTTTGTCTTCCTGTTTATATTATATTGTAGACTTAGTAAACAATAAATCTAGTAGACATAGGTAAGCTTATAATTTCCAGTCTATTCTTCCAGCCCTTTACTGCTCCTTGAATCAGTTGTTTCTTTTGTGCTTCCATTATGACCCTCTTACGTGTCTAAGATTATGTTTTTTAATAATAACAGAACAGTGTCTTTTCACCCTGGATTATTCCTTCCATAATAGGAAGGACCCTGCCCTGTCACCTGCCCCTAGCCCATAGTGTCTTCCGGGCATATATAATACAGGTCTGAATGGAAAAACAAAACAAAATATTTTTTGGAGTGCACTATTTCTCCTGATTATATAAATTCCTATTTTCAGTTTTTATGCAAAGGACTTTGCAATAGTTATGTATGCAGTTTAAGTCATGGTGGTTGCTTTTTAGAATATATCAGTTTACTTTTATTAATCAGTACTATAGTCTCTCCCCATCCTTTCTCTTCCTTTCACTTTAGTGATGGAGTACCCAGTGATGGAAGTTAACTCTGTTACCTCAGGAATTAAGAGACGAGTGAAAGACAGAATTGGGAAGACAAAGTTGAATGTTTCTCTTGCTTCAAAAATCAAAACAAAAATATTAAGTAAGTGTCATTCATCTTAATTCATCTTAAGCTTCACTTATCATTTACCTTTCTGAAGAATCGATTCACTTACTACCTTATTTTAAGAAATATAGCAAGGTTAATTGGTACTTTTTCCATTTGATCTTTATTATGGTTTTTAGCTCCCCTGCTGAATGGTTTTGCTAATTTACCCTTGGTGATGGCTGAATTGTAAGCAGTGTGGCTGGGGTATCCCCAGGCCTCTTAGCTTGCAAAGATAATACCAACATGGCTTTTCTGCAAAAGAGCTAAAAGAGTGAATGATTTGATTTGGCATGTTCCATGGCAAATAATAAGTAATCTAGAGGATCTGTAGGTAAACCTTGTAAATTAGTCATGTGCCCGCAATGGCCATTTCCTCCTTCATTTATCAAGACCATTTGGAAAACAGCAGGAAAATATTATTCTTTTTGGCCAAGGGTCTCCGAGTGAGACCGCTCTGTGCCAAAGATAGTCCTGCTTGGAGTCTTTTCTTTTCAGATTTCCAAACTTTCTCTGAATATCTAAAAAGGTTATATTTTAGTGAGATGTGTTAGCTCATACCTATAATTCCAGCACTCAAGAGACTGAGGCAGGGGGAATCACAATTTTAAGGATAGCCCCTAACTGCATAGCAAGGCCCTGTCTCAAACATGTGTGTGTATATTAAACTGTGGAGTAGGTAGGTTTTTGGCATGTAGTAGAATCTAAGTCCAAATTATGAAAATATAATTATGATTTAACTCTACTGAAGAAACATAATACTTTTAAGGTGAATATAAATCATCCTTTGCTACCATTTCAGTAATGGTTTATGTCATGCTGACATATTTCTTTTCATTAATAATGTCAAGTTTATATTGCAAGTCGATTACTAGAAAAGGTGTTATCTTCTGGATAGAGGTGAAGATCCCACAGGTCCCAGACAATCCGTCCTTTCATTTGAGGGTTAAGAAATGGTATTTGGAAGCATAGACAGTTTTATTGAGTTGTGGAGCCACAGAAACCTCTGTAAACATTTCAGGTCAGCTGCCCTATCTCCTGTGTGTCCCCAGTGAGACTGTGAGGTCGGCTCTCCTTTGTCCCCAGTGAGAGTTTGAGGTCGGCTCCCCCGTGTCCCCAGTGAGACTGTGAGGTGGGCTTCCCACCCTGCTTGTGGTCAAGGTGCGAAGTGGGTCAGATGGCAGCATCACAACCACCTTGTGACGACTGTCTGCAGTGCCACCACTCCATTCTTCCCAGCTGTACGCCTCTCAGCTTCTCATCTTCTCTCTAGCTTTTGTTTCTTCAGCTTCAAACTCTGGGTATATTTTTTTTTCCTAAAACAATACTTGTTTTGCCATTCTTTTCCAACCATCATTTGAAATTTATAAAGTAAATTGTACTTTTTCTGAAATTATTTTACTAAGGAATGTGAAATTTTATTAAAGAAATATAAAATGCAGTTCAGTATTAACTTTTAAATATTTTGCAGACAATTCTTCTATTTTCAAGATCTCACTAAAGCATAACAACAGAGCATTAGCTCAGGCTCTAAGTCGAGAGAAAGAGAATTCTCGAAGAATTACTACCGAAAAGATGCTATTACAAAAAGAAGTAGAGAAACTGAATTTTGAGAATACCTTTCTTCGCCTAAAGCTAAATAACTTGGTATGGAAATTGTATTGTTTTGGTCTCTACATTAAAATAGAATCTTTTAACTATGTTGCTACAGAAATGCTAATTTTTTTAAATTCCAGTTGTAGAGAATTATTGAAAGTCTGTGCTAAAAGACAGGCACCTCTTTGTAATAGAATAACATCTTAAATCTTATTCTAAATGCATGCGGTGTGGTCTATAAGCCAGGATAACACTATGACCAACATTTGATTGCCCACTGTAAGCAAATTGGCCCATTCTTACATTTTTTCATGCTGAGCATAATTCCTCTAATGAATTGAAGAGGGAGTTCCTACAGTATTTCTGTTCTCTCCCTTCTTTGGGTTATTTATTTATTTATTTATGTTTGTTTGTTTGCTTTTTGAGACAGGGTTTCTCTGTAGCATTGGAGCCTGTCCTGGGACTTGCTCTGTAGACCAGTCTGGCCTTGAACTCAGAGATCCATTTTTCTCTGCCTCCCAAGTGCTGGGAATAAAGACGTGCACCACCACCTCCCAGCATTCTGTTCTCTTTAATTTTGCATTTCATTGGCTATATGCCAAACAAAATGGAGATTGTAGTCCTTTGTTCTTTCTTCCAACCTCCAACTATGGACAGAGCAATGAGAGTATCTGACTAAGTTGTAATTATAGTTTTAGGTTTAAAATGAATAGAAATTAGTTTAAAGTGGAAAAATGGCCTGTAATCCTTTGATGATTAAGTTCGTATTACTAACCAACTATGTTGATTTTCCATTTGATATGTGATAGTAAGAAAACAGAAAAATAAAAGAACATTTATAACTGATGTCATAAGTGTTCACAGTTTTTCTGTGTGCATACCTGTTTTGACTGTTCATTAGCATTTGAACTTAATATGATCTCAGTTGAAAACAGTCACCAGGTGCGATTTCATGTCTGAATCCCAGTAGCTTGGAAGCTGAGGCAGGAGGTTTGCCTTGAGTTCAAAGCCAGTCTCTGCTATGTAGTTAATTCTACAGCAACCTGGGTTACAGTATGAGACCTTGTCACAAAAAATGAGAATAAAAACAATCTTCTTATACTGATGCTATCCATAAATGTGTGGTATCATTACAACAAACTCTGAATCTAAGAAATATTTATTTTACATTCACAGAATAAGAAGCTTATAGAAATAGAATCACTTGTGAACAATAATTTGATAACTGCAATTGAAATGAGCAGTCTTTCTGAGGTAAGTGGGTTCATGTGAGTAGAGCCATTTTGTAGCATTACTAAAGATAGTTAAGATTAGTTAAATTGCATCAAGGTTAGAACTTCAAATGTCCAAAGAAATAACAGTAATCATGTATAGCACATCATTTGTATAATTGGCTATGAAATCATTAAAATCACATTTTTATTTAAAATAATAGATTAAACAGCTCTTTGGAATATAGTGGCTCACCAAACAGATTTAGAAACAAAGTCATAGTAAAAAGGTAGCATTTCAAGTTAGAAAAGAATTTATTTTAAAATAAAAAAACAAATTAAAATTATATTAGGGTAAAAAATAGAGGCAGATCTTATGTATATCAGTCTCTAAGATAAATTCTAGGTGATTACATAAAACAGACACACAGAATCAGTATAGGAGCTCACTTGGAGAAGTGAAAGAAACAGTTTGGTGAGATGTGGAAGAAACTAGTCCCAAGAGTACTGCTTAGCTAATTGTTGTGAATTATGTGACAAGCCTTGTCATTGGTCCTTTAAAATGGTGCTAAAATCACTGTTCCCAGAGGGTTTTTGTTTTCCTTTGGTGAACTCAAAGACAGCTGGGGTTAGAAGGAAGAGGGAAAATAGGAGCATGTGGGAACAGAAGTGAGAGGATGAAGGTGAGCTTGAGATTTTGCTGCTTGCTTTCTTGGGATTGTGACCAAGCAGACAGGCTTTGAATCACCTTTCACAGTTCCTTTTCACTGTGGTTGTCACTGATGGAGGCAAAGGGGAGTACAGACGTCCTAACTGAACAGTGGTTCAGAGCACGGGTGAAGGCTCATACCCACTTCTGTCTTTGCCCTCAGTTTCTAAAGCTTCCTTCATTATTTTGTAGGTGTGGGTATGGGTGGGGGCCCACATGCCATGATGGGTTGTGGAAGTCAGAGAACAACTCTCAAGAGTTGTTTCTTTCACATCTGAGTCTGGTCTTGAACTCGGGTCTTCTGTGTGTAAAATGCCTGCGGAACTATCCTGCAAAGCCAAAGTAAATACTATTTTTTTTTCAAGTCTTGTTGTACATATGGAGGTCAGATAAAACTTTGTAGTTGATTCTCTCCTACCTTAACATGGGGTTGAACTCAGGTTATCAGGTTTTCTTGCAAGTACCTTTATGCTGCAGTAACTTAGGGATTGACCTAACTAGAATGACTGGGCACAAAGAAACAACAGACTCAGAAAGTGAAAAGCTGGAATCAGGTGGACCATGTATGCTGATGGAGGTGTACCACCAGCAACCCAGAAACAGGAGGAGGAGGCAGGTTAGCTAATGGAGGTGGTAGCGGGTCTTTATAGGTGATTGGTCTCAGATTGCAGTCATCCCAATCAGTTGATAACTTCGTGTGCACACTGATTTTAGCTAAGAGTCAGCTGTATCAGCGCTCATACTGGAGTCAGGGAAAGCTTTGCCATTATTCTGAATCTAGCATGGGGGAGGCCTGGGCTGAGGTATTGTCCCTCGTGTCAGTAATACACATTTTCTAAGGACTTCATCCACTCCCTACACCTTTACCCACAGAACTATGTCCTATTGTTAGACACATGAGTTGTCTTTTGCTGTTGCCTTGATGTCAGTGTAGAGTACTTTTTTCTCCTGTATCTTTAAATTTTTTTCTTTTCTGGATTATTTTTCATCAGTACGCAAAAAGCTTCTAACTCATCTTGAAAGCAACAAAAGACACATTCCACTTCTCAGCTGGTGTCTCAGTTTTACTTTGTGAGAGAGTTGTTCCCATATTCCTTTCTTTGAATCACACCTATGGCTTCTACATCACTATTGCTCTTCAGAAAGTGAGTGATAATGGTAGCCTTACAAGATCCCAGGGGCAGTTGTCAGTCCTTAAACTGTTCTTAGACTTTCAGGACACTGCACTCCCCAAAATCTTTCCCCATCTTTCTGCCTGTTCTTTTAGCCTGTTTATTGATTTCCTTCCCCAACTAAGTGTTCAGAGTGTCTAAGACTCAGTTCTTAGATTTCTCTTTTCTATCTATACTCATTCCCACTAAGTAATTTCACCAGTCTTTTTTTAAAAATTACTAACATGTACTGGTAGCTCCCAAATGTGTGTTTCCATGCTACATAACACATATGTAGTAGACATGAAGACATTTTGTTTGTAGCTATAACTATCATGTGTGTGTCTGTATGTCTGTATAGTTGTATACATTTGTATTTCTGTTTATAGGAAGTGGAGAAGATTGCTTAACAAAAATATCAAGAATGGTTATCATTGGAAAGTTAATCTTATTGTTAATCCTATACTTATTCAGCTATTAAAGACTAAAGACTGACATACACAGGGTCCTGAGTTAATCCACAGCAACACACATGCATGGTGCAAGAATTGTTTTGTTCTGTTTCTGTTGGTCCTGATATAATTTGCTATTTTAATGACAAGTCTGACATGATAGACTATTTCTTACATTTTCTTTGTTTTATTCAAAAATAGTTCCATCAAAGTTCTTTTCTCCTGTCAGCTAACAAGAAGAAAAGGATCAGTAAGCAATGCAAGTCTGTGCATCTTCCATTTGCAAGGTAATTGTTTAAAATGTGGTTAAATACTGACTTATGTTTCTGCTTTAGAAGAAGGTAGATAAATAGTTTGTAACATTGCTTTGTTGAATTAGATATTTTCATAGACTTCTATTTTAAACTTCAGCATAGTATCTTTAGTTACCTGGGCTGCAATGACACTAGCTTAGAATACAGACTTCATAAAACACTGTCAGTGTTCTCTTGGTCAGCCTGTAGCTGTGCTACTGAGATGGAAATGGGGATATCCTCAGTGTATAGTGGTATTCAAGTTTTCATTTTTACTTCCCTGATGACAAAGAAAGTTAAGAATTTGTTTATATGTGTTATTTGAGTTGTATTTATTTTTTTACTTTGTGTATAACAAATATTTTCTACTTTCTGGCTTGCATCTTTTCTTTTTTTTTTTTTTTTTTTTGTCTCCTTGGGATATTTAGATGAACAGTTCTTTGTAAAGCCCAGTGTGTGTGTGTCTGTCTGTCTGTGTGTCTGTGTCTGCTTGTGCGCCACAGAGTTTGTACACAGGTCAGAGGACAATTTTAATGGTCATTTCTTTTCCACCGTGAGTTTTAGGGATCAAACTCAGGTCCTCAGATTTGCATGGCAGCCACTTTTATATAATGTGCCAACTCACTGGACCTAAGCCTACAGTTTTGTTTTGTTTTTTGTTAAAATTTTTTGGTAATGTGTCATTTCTCTTAATAAAGTAAGATGTCCTATTTCTTTGTCAGGTTTTTAACTCTTCTTTAAAGAATTCTTCCATTTTTCATTTCTCAATCATCTAAAGAGTCAAATTATAATGAATCAAGTGCAGCCAGCCTACACAATAAGACTGTCTCAGAAAAAGCAAACATAGCTTAAGATTCCTTTGTCACTAGTTGCTGAGAGTTTCTTCATGAGCTGTTCAGTTAATCAAGTGCTTTTCCTGTTGCTGTGGAAAAGACTGCTTTTCTCTGTTAGTATAATGAATGTTTAATGTTTTTCTATTCATATAATGAAATGCAATGATTGGTTGCTTATTATTATTAGTGTATGTATTTGTACACATAGGGGTACAAGTGCATGGCATGCCTGTGGGGTTCAGAGGATAACTTTGTGGAACCTCTCTGCTTTTATGTGGGTTCTAGGATTGAAATCAGGTCATCAGGCTTTGCATGGCAATAATATGTTACCTGCAGGGCCATATCTCTCAGTGATCTATTTCTGAATATTATTAAACTACCATTGCATTCCTTTACTGTATCAAAAAATTGTAATAGTTGTTTTAAAGGTGTTTTGCATGTATATTACAATGAAAATAATTTTCTTTTATTGCAGTTATTTTTTCTGTGTTAGGTATTTTGATTATGCTGATTGATAAGTTCTGTTTTCTGAAAGTATATCATAAAGGATATTTTTCTTTAAGAACTTGAGAAAAGTTGTCTATGATTATAGTTTTCATGCAGAGAAATTTTTATAGCATCTCATTTCTTTTTAAAATACTTTTCTTATCTTTAATTATGTATGTGAGTGCAGATGCTCATGGAGACTAGAGGGGAATCCTCCTGATGCTGAGTTATGAGTAGTTGTGAACTACTCATAGGTAGGAACCAAATTCGGGTCCAAATTCGGGTCCTTAGGAAGAGTAGTACATGTTCTTGACTGTTAGGCTATCGCTCCAGCTGGTATCCCATTTCTTTAATAATCCCCATGTTTTACTTTTCAAGTTCTTACTTTTCCTTCAAATAAGTTTTACGTTTCTTCTAAATGGTCAGATTATTGGCATATGTATAGTGATATCCTTTTCTACATACTTTTGTAAAGCACAGGATTTCTCATTTCATTCTCACTTGCCTTTAGGGTTCCATTAACTTCAGAAAATGATGATGATGATGATGATGATGATGGTGGTGGTGGTAGTGATGGTGGTGGTGGTGGTGATGGTGATAAATGGAAAACAGAGTGTAACAACAGAATTACATCAAAGACATCAGCTGATACCACCTCTTCGGAATCAAGACAATCCTTGTCCTTACATCAGTGTGATTTGGAATTATTACTTCCTAAGAAAGAGAACCAGAATATATGTGGCTCAAGTTATTCAGAACATACTTCTAGTGTTGATGTACTTCCTAAAGGTAGGATTGTTTTAAAGATATTCTGTAGTTATTTGTTCAGCAGATTTTCCTGAGGGCAACAATGTCTAAAAAGCTCATGAGTTAGTGTCTTAGTTTGGTTTCTATAGCTGTGAAGAGACACGATGACTAAGGCAACTCTAATAAAGGAAAATATTTCATTGGGGTGGCTTGCTTATAGTTTCAGAGGCTTAGTTCATTATCATAATGGCAAAGAGCATGGCAGCTGAGAGTATGGCAGCATGCAGGCAGAAATGGTGCTGGAGAAGTAGTTGAGAGTTCTGCATCTTTCAGGCAACAGGAAGTGAACTGTGTCACTGGGCAGCATCTTGAGCATAGGAAACCTCAGAGCCCACCCCCACAGTGGCACACTTCTTCGAACAAGGCCACACCTCCTAAGAGTGTCACACCCTATGAGATTATGAGGGCCATATAATTCAAACTACCACAGTTAGGTAGGTCTCTTGTATTACTAACTTGTACTTGCTAAGTTCTACCATTTAAAACTAATGGTGAAAATTTCAACTTGAAGTAAATATCCTGATAAATGTCAGATCCACAGGTTCCTAATACTGTTAGTCTAGAAGCAATCTTCAAAAATGAGCACAACTAAGACTTCCATTTTGTTTAGCTGTTACTTCAAAAATACTTACATTCATGTATATGAAAAGTAATGGTCTAGATGGATATAGTGACTTTTTCAAAATCATAACCAGTTAGTCATTATGATGGTTAGTTTTAATTTGTCAACTGAACATAATCTAGAATCCCTGGAAAAAGAATCTCAGTGAGAGATTGTCTAGATTAGGTTGTCTGTTGGCATGTTATGGAAGATTGTACCGAGGTGGGAAGACTTGCCCCTGTGGGTGGCACCATTCCCTAGGTAGGAGATCCTTAACTGTTCAAGAGTGGAGAAAGCAAAATGAATACAAGCGTGTATCATTCATTGCTTTCCTTTCTTGAATATGGATGTGACTGTCTGCTTCAAGTCCCTGCCACTTTGATTTCCTGACAATGATGGACTGTAACCCAACTGTGAGCCAAGTAAACTCTCCCTTAAAGTGCTATTGTCTGTATATTTACCAGAGCAGCAGAAATGACACTGATAGTGCTAATGAGCTGGAGTAATGACTTAGTGAGAAAACATGATGACACATTTCATTTACATGGTCTTCCTAATTGATGATCCTGTGCTATAGTCTATGGTGCTTACATATTTGTTAGATTTTTCAGACTGGAATACGGAACCTTAACTGTTAAACTTAGAATGTGGTAGTTTTCCACAGTCATGCTGATAAAAGATTAATTGGAATAATTGGAGTACTCGCGTGTGACATTTTACATCTGAATCCATGGAAAATGCATACCATTGAGCATCACTCAGCCTCCACCACAAGATTAAAATGGAGTATATCCAGCAGTGGAGCTATTACTACTTCTAGAGCTTAAGGAGATTGGTGAACTCAAATGATAGCAGCAACTCCAATAAGGAAGCTAATTTTTGCCAGCTTGAATTCTGAATAATAAAAGGACCTTAGAACAGATGATCAGAAATCCTCTCTGTGAAATAGCTAAGTATGTTTTGTTTACTGTAGTTTAATAGTTATTTTATATTTCTTTATTTTGCAGAAAGCTGTGATGACTCAGATCAAAGTCCTAAGAGTTCTCTGAGTGAGATGAAAACTGCCCCATCTCCCAGCTTCAGAAGGGAAAAACCATCACTTAATGTGACTGAGAGGAGGAAGCGTGGGTCTTCTACTGCAGATAATCTATATGTGACAGACTTAGATTACCAACATATTTCAAGTCCAGGATTCAATTGGAATGATAAGATAAGTGGTTGTACTAGTGAAACCAAAAGTAATCTGCAAAGAAATACACAGTGTTTTCCTGACTTGCCTCCAGAGTCTGCCAGCGACCCTAATGCACAGCACATGGAGACAGTGCAGAAGACTGATGACTGTCAGTTGCAAAAAACTGTGTACGAAAACGCTGACATGGATTTAACTGCTAGTGAAGTAAGCAAAATCATTACCATTTCAAAAAGCAATAAAAATCAAAGTAAGAAAAAGGCAGATTGTAGAAAGGAAACTTTTAGAAAAGTGAAAGATCCAAGCTCTGAAAAAAAGAGAGAAAGATCAAAGAGAAAATGTAAAGGTAGTTCAGAAATGGGTGCTGAAGGAAAAATGGAAAGCAGACCAGAAAGAGGCTCTGTGGTCCTAGATGGCAGAGGGGACTCAGAAGATCCAAATTGTATTCCCAGTACTGAACAGTTGCCTCAGGCAACCATGCTAAAGAAAATCACCCTCCAGAGCAGCTGGGATCAAGAGAACATACAAAGTACAAAGAGGAAGCGAACACATAGGACAGGTGAGCAAGAGGAAACAGGCTCTTTCTCTCAATGTGCAGTCAAACTCCTTCAAGATAGCAAATTTGATCAGTGTCAGAATACCCTACATTGTAATATAAATAAGCCTTCTCGACAGACATTTGTAATTCATAAATCAGAAAAAGATAACTTATTTCCAAACCAAAAAGATGAAGAGACCAGTAATGAAAACTTAGAAGTTGCAAATGAATTTCATAGAGCTAATATTTCCACCAAAGATAATGAAAATATATGTGACTATGAGACCCAGACTATGTTGGACTTGAAAAAGTATGTCAATGCTCAGCAAAATCAAACAAAAGTAAATAAGCCTAAACAGAAAATAAATCGGAGGACAAAAATAATTTCTAGTATGAACCAAATATATGAGGATAATGACAAAGATATTTGTGTTTTAGAAAAAGATAACTTTCCCCTCCAAATCCAAGCAAATAAAGAGACCACCTATGGAAATGTAGAAGCTTCAAAACAATTTGAAGCACCTCCACTTTTCACAAGAAACAATGAAAACTTACATGATTGTAAGACCCAGAATATTCTGGATTCGCACAAGCAGATCACTAGTATATACCCTGCTCAAAATGAATCCCAAATTAGCAAAATCCCTAGGAAGAAGGTAAATCGCAAAACAGAGGTAATCTCAGTCTCTGTAGTGAATCATTTTAGTAATGACAGAGGTGTTCATTGTTCAGAAAAGGATGAGTCTTTCTTACTTGAAAAGGATAAAGACATCCCTGAAACCTTGAAAGACTTAAGTAAGTTTGAAATGCCTGCTTTTTGTAACAAAGATAGTGAAAAGTTATGTGATTATCAGACTCAAAAGCTCCTGGGGTTGAAAAAGGATGACCATAATGTGCAACCTGCTTGTCACAATGATTTAAAAGTAGATAAGAAGCCTAGACAAAAGGTACATCGAAAGACAGAAATCATTTCTAAAACTAATCAAAAACATGAAAATGATGGAGAAAGTATACATGACCCATTAAATAAGAAGCTTTGTCAGGAGGTTAATAAATCGGAAATTGTTTCTCAAATGAACCGAATACATGAGAATAGTAATGAAGATATGAATGGCTTTAAAAGCTTTATCAAAGACCAAGATGTTATGAGTTACTGTGGAGAAATCAATGGTAATAAAGAGGAAAACTGTGATCCAATTCCAGATGCTTGTGTACTAGTTAAAAAACACAGGAAAAAATTACCAGGTGGAGCCAAAAATATATTGACAGGTGATAAGAGCAGACATATTTTGCAGTTAACAGATTCTTCACAGAAGTCTGTCACCTTAGAATCTGGAGTACACCATGACAATAAGCAAACAGATTCTGGTCTTGGAGAACCAACTAACCTGCCAAAGAGCCAGAAGCAAAGCACTGTGAGCACGCTGGAAGATGCCTTCTCTATGGGTGTGGTAAAAGGAGAAAGCTGCCCAGCCAAAAAAATTAATAAATTGACATCCAAATCAAAGAAAAGAAAGACCTCCCTAGATCTTTCTTCAGATACCCATGGGGTGGTGGAGATAACACCCAACACTGACCACACACAACAAATTGATAAGGAAAACTATTTGGAGAATGAGAAAATTACCAAGAGTAAATCAGACTTTTGCACAAAGGTATTAAAACCTTTATCTCAGATATGTTCATCTAACATAAAGAATTCTTCCTTGGATCACGTGTGTGAGAATTCAGTACCTTTGAGTATTTCTTCCAGTAAAAATCTGATGATGGAGGAAAATTCTTCCCTGGAGAGTACATGCATCTTTCAAGCAGGTGATGATGCTCGTGAAAAGATGAAGGAGAGAACTCATAAAAGCTGTCGCAGAACACAAATGTTGGGAATAGGTAGGCCAGAGTTTTAGAATTATATTCTTTTTACTTAACAAGCGCTGTATTTTCTGTTGAAGTGGCCATTTTTGTGCAAAATTAAAAACAGTGTGACTGTATATATAAAAACAGAAGAAATGAAAGTTTTGTATATTGAGAAGGTAGCACATTATCTTGGGCATTTAAATCTAAAACTCGGTTTAGCCTTTACTACTACGTTATTTAATAGTGGCTTTAGGCAGATAATGCCTCTCTTTGTATGTTTGGAGGAAATTAAATGTTTTAAATGCATGTAATAGGAAATTGTATTGAATTAATTCTACAGAAGACAACTGCCAGTTTTGTAAGGTGGGGCTCAGTCCAGCAGCATACATTTAATGTGATCAGAGCAGCATTAAGACCAACTCCTTTTCCTCAGGATACATGCATATAAATGTAAAGGTTAACAGATGCAGAGTGTACTAAGTCATTTATAAAGCAAACATCAAGCTAAGAGTAGATAGTGAGGACTTTGATTAGAGGAAACTGCAAAGATAATCAAGTCAGTAGCATTTTAGACTAATGGATAGGTAAGACTTTTAGCATTAGTGTTCACTTTTGTTTAACCCTGGTTGTTAAAATAATAGATATTATAAATAATCAGATAAAATCAGGAGAGAAAACCCTCTGAGAATGTCAGTCACCATTTACCATGTATACACAGACTTGAATCTATGTATACATATACTTGAAATCATAATTTTCTTTTTGGTTTTGTTTTTTGGTTTTTCGAGACAGGGTTTCTCTGTGGCTTTGGAGGCTGTCCTGGAACTAGCTCTTGTCGACTAGGCTGGTCTCGAACTCACAGAGATCCGCCTGCCTCTGCCTCCTGAGTGCTGGGATTAAAGGCGTGTGCCACCACCGCCCAGCTTGAAATCATACTTTATATAAAACTATTTGTTCCACTTCTTCCTCAATGTCCAGTCATAAGGATTTTCTTTGTTATCAGAGATTTTATAACATTAGACATTCTTTCATAAAAGTTTTTCTACTTGGGACCAACATTTCAATGTGTCTATAGAACACTACAATTTTTAGGCTAAGACTAGTCTACATAAAGAGTCCCAGGGTAAAAGAATTACAAGAGTCTGGAGCCCGGCGGTGGTGGCACACGCCTTTAATCCCAGCACTCAGGAGGCAGAGGCAGGAGGATCTCTGTGAGTTCGAGGCTGGGCTGGACCTACAGCCTCCAAAACAATACAGAGAAACCCTGTCTCGAAAAACCAAAAAATAAAAAGAGTCTGGGTGGTAGGATATGTTAGAGGAATAGCTCATCTTGTCTGCCTCCATGACTTTTACACACTGAGTAACCAGAACTGTATGTGTGAATGAGTGCAGAGATACCAATGTAGGTTTATGACAAGTTGAACCATGAAGAGCTTTTGTGATTTTAGAGCAAAAACATTGTAGGCCTTTTTCTGGTATCCTGGCTAGTTTTATGTCAGCTTGACACAAGCTAGAGTCAGTTGGGGTGAGGGACTCTGAATTGAGAAAACGCCTTCTGCAGGCAAATCTGTAAGACATTTTCTTGGTTAGTGACTGGGGAGGGCCCATCCGATTGTGGATGGTGTCATCTCTGGGCTGGAGGTCCTGGGTTCTATAAGAAAGCAGGCTGAGCAAGCCAAGAGGAGCAAGCCAGTAAGCAGCAGCCCTCCGTGACCTCTGCATCAGCTCCTGCCTCCAGGTTCCTTCCCCGATTTCCTTCAGTGAGACTGAGTGAAGTAACCCTGTCCCACCCAAGATGCTTATGACCCTGGTCTTTATCATAGCAGTGAGAACCCTAAGTAAGGCAGTTGGTTTATTTTACATTTTAAGCCCCATTTCCTCTCAAAATTGAATTTTTAAGTTTTAAAATTTGTTCTCTTTGATTGGTGAACTGTTTTTATTTACTTCATAGGTATTTCCATATCTTTATACATGCTTTTACAAATATTTGTGAAAATATTCTCTTTAGATAGAGGAACATCCCAGGACTTGGTGGATAGCAGTTCTGTTTTGAGTAACACTGCTAACTCTGAAAATGCGTCCGAAGAGCAGTCTGCGCAGCTGATGAGAAGGAAAAGACAGTGTGCCCCTCTCAACCTGAGAGAGCCGAACCTCGTAAGGCAAGTGTGACAGGGCATATTACTGTGCTTGAGAAATGCTTTGCCTGGATTAGTATTTGAACACACCTGGATGTCAGTCACTAAAACATTAGTGTATAACACAATGTGAACTTGGTAGAGATGAAAACAAAGTGAGCCTTTCGTTTAAATTAATATAGTTTCATTTAATTTTCATCTTACTACTATCATTTTTGAAATTTTATTTGGTAGCTATAATTTTTTAAATTTGTTGAATACAATTTGCCAATTACTGTTTTCATAGCTATTACCCACATTTATTTCCTGTGTTGCTCCCTAGAAATCAATGTGGTTTATATTTCCTTTGGTCTCAAAGAGAAACTTTTTTTTTAACTACAACTATACACTAGCAAAGACTTCTACCCAATTTCCCCACTCCTCAGTTTCAGTAGTTGATAACAATGTGCTATATTCGATTCAGCTGTAATGCTTTTAAAGCAAATCTCTGATACTGCGTTGTTTCATTCAGAAAACACCTCTGTATTTGTCTTTAAAGAATAAGGCTTTTCTTGGGCTGGAGATATAGCTTAATCAGTAAAGTGCTTGAACAAACATGAGGACCTGAGTTCAGATCCCCAGAAATCTTGTACAAGTCAGGCCGAGCAGCATGCACCTGTGTTCCCAGTACTGGAGAGGGTAGAGAAAGACAGCAGGATCTCCGGAGTGTGCTGGCTAGCCAATTTAGCCAAATCTGAGAGTTCCAGCTCAGTGAGAGACCCTAGCTCATGAGGAGGACATCTTGATATTGACATCTGGCCTCTAAATTCTCTCTCTCTCTCTCTCTCTCTCTCTCTCTCTCTCTCTCTCTCTCTCTCTCTCTCTCTCTCTCTCTCTCTCTCTCTCTCTCTCTCTCCCTCCCTCCCCTCCCTCCCTCCCTCCCTCCCTCCCTCTCCTCTCTCAAGAATTTCTTAACAAAGTTACCTCATTACAATTAGGCAGGACTGGGCTTATATCTCAGGGTATAGCTTGCCCTGCATGCAGGAAGCTCCAGTTCAAAAAACTATCAATAAATTCTTGCTGTCCGCTAATTAGTCTATTCAAATTTCCTTGATTGCCATAAAAATACCCCAATGACTATTTACATTGTTTTGTTCAAAAATCTCATGTTTTTAAAGTTAAGTCAAATAATCTCATAAAAATCAGGTTTTTCTCAAGATTTTCAAAAAAAATCATTTTACACAAATATTTTCTGTAAGCTAGAGAAAATTATCACAAAATGTCCTTTGTATTATTTCAGTTTTCTCCTTTTATAAAAAACCTGATTTTGACCAGCATTTTCAAGTAGTAATCAGCAGATGGCAGTACTACAGGGGAGGGTGAAAGGAGAAGGGGGAGAGGGAGGGAGAGAGAGAGGTGGAAAGAAAGGACCTAGGGGTTTTCACAACATAGTTTTTTGGGGATGCAGAATATGTCTTTTGGGGGATGTACTATATATTTCACCCATTTAAAAGTGTATAGAACCATGGGATGGGTTTTTAAATATTCACAGATAAGGGATACGGGACATACTTCAATAGGTGAGCCCTTGCCTGGTATGTACAAGACCCTGGATTCAATTCTGATTCACCAAAGAAAACCCTCTCACAAATATGTATAGCTACTATCACAATCAGTTTTAGAACATTTCTTTATTTCAGAAAGAAATCCTGTACTTCCATACTTCCTAGTTGTAGATAGCTTTATTCTGTACATCTAAGAGCATAATTGTATCTAGTCATTGTAACTAGCTTATCCCATTAGCACGATGTTTTCTGGGTTCATCCCTGTGGTAGTTGTACAAGTATTCATTCCTTCCTATATTAACCAGTACTTTTCTGTGTGAATAGACTACAGTTTTGCTTTATCCATTTATGGTGATTTACTTGACTTTTGTTTTTTCATTTCTCTTCCCACTTGTTTCTGCTATTATGAATAATGTTGGTTTGAAAGTTCATGTGTAAATTTTTGCATGACAATGTTTTAATTTCTCATTGAGTTTACACTCAGAATTGGAGTCATCTAAGTGCTAGACTTTTACATTACTGCCAACTGTGTGTTAGAGTCCACTTTCTTTTTACTCTCATCTCTTGTTTGGCTCTTTGGTTCTAGCCCTTTATGAAGTTGTATCTTACCATGTTCTCATGAGTAATGTTGTTGAGCATCGCTGGGCAGTGGTGGCGCATGCCTTTAATTCCAGCACTTGGGAGGCAAAGGCAGACTGATTTCCGTGAGTTCAAGGCCAACCTGGTGTACAGAGTGAGTGCCAGGAGAGGCTCCAAAGCTACACAGAGAAACCCTGTCATAAAAACAAATAAACAGGTGGAGGGAGAAGCGGGGAGCTGGGATTGACATTTGAAGCATACATGTTTCTAATTTAAATAAAAAAACATACATAAAATAAAAAAACAAACAAAAATGTTGTTGAGCATCTTTTCATGTACTTACTGGCTAATTGTATACCACTAATGGCCTTTCTCTGTATTAGAATGCTAATCAGAGCCCTAAGTTAGGTTTAGCTTTGTTTCTCCTTAACTGCATCATCATCACACCCATCAATTCCCTGGTCCTTCTTTTTCTCTCATGATATCTTGAACATTACAGGTTACTTCTTTTGAAGAATATCCACAAATTAGGTTTGTGGATATTTTAAAGTTTTTGTCCTCATGAACACACTGAGGCTATGCTTTTTAGTGAATTCCACGTGCAGGATGCATCTTTGTTGAGACATCAGGAATTCATTGTATTAGTCTGTTTCACTACCATATTAAGGCTAAGCTTGATCTCTTGGCGACCATGGTATCCACTGGGTTTCTACAATGAAAATTTGATGTTTTCCTTCAGGATTTGGGGGAGATACTTTGAGTATATATCATATTCCTCAAATTTTTTCTTAGTGATTTTAGTATTTATTAGTAGATTTTGCTTGAAATCAATACCAGTGTGATGTATGAGACCATTACTGACTTTCTGTTCTACTGTTTATGAGGAAATACTGTCTTTTCTTTCTTAATATTGACACAGTGAGGTGAAATAATAGCCCCATATTATATTCTAGTTGAAAATCCAATATTATCCATCTTTACTTCATTATTGCAGTGATCCCTACTTTGGTATTAGGAGCCCCTTCAGACTAGCTTCTGACTTCATACTCTTTTGACCATTTCATTCCTTTCTGACACCACAGATGTTCCAGGTTCATCATAATGTTTTTCCTGCCCTGGCCCTGCAACCAGAAACTTTCAGGGATTCTGATTTCCTTGATTGTAAAATTATGTTTAGCAACCAGAATCTAGGCCTTACATATGTTCATGGCTGATATTATATAGTACCGCCTGTGATTGCTACACAGTATTACCATGAATCTAGTAGCTAAAAAAACAGCATTTATTATTTCTCAGACTGTAGGCATGGCTTAATTGGTGTTTGGCTTAGGGCTTCATAATACCACAATCAGGGTGTCAGAGAAACTGGTTCCCATCTGGAGGCTCTCCTAACAGACACTGTTAGTAGACTTTTCTCATCTTGATTTTGGCCACAGACTGCTTTCACTTCCTTGCCACATGGGCCTCCCTCCCTCCTCCCCAGAAGGCCACTTGCTCGAAGTGAGCTGTGGAGTGAATCTACAGCAAAGCCCTCTAGTGAGATAGTGTTCTATAATGAAATGTACTCTCAGAAGTGGGATGACCTCTCACCCTTGTCATTTTATTAGTTACTGTTCCTGTCCACAATCAACTGGAAGGTCTTATATAAAGACATGAATGCCAATACACGGTGATTGTAGGTGGTGTTCTTATTAAAGTCTGTCTACCATAGGGAGTATGATTGGGCCCTTTGGAAGCATATGTATATATATATTAATCCACTATTGTATGATGAAAGATTTCCTGGGGTATACAACACACATGTCTACTCACATCAGGTAGGAAACCCACAATAGATGGATACCAACTTGGTTAACCAGTGGGCTTTATTGGGGTTACTTAAAGGAATATGGGTGAGGGGTTACTTGAGTAAATATGACTCAAACTAGCTGCATCACCAAAGCCCACCCTAGCATGGGTGACATCTGGGAACCTGGATCACACTACATAGCCTGCAGGCCATCAACAAGTTGGACAGGTGCCTCAATTGGTCTAAACCATCCAAGCAGCTCAGCTGGTTTCTGCCTCTTCCAGGCAGCAGCTCTGATCTCAAGAGTCTTCTTTGCAGCTTGGTTATCAAAGAGTCTTCTTCAAGGCTTAGTTTCCTTCCATCTGAAGAGGACTCTCAAGCTTTTATTGCTTAGTATGGGGTTCTCAACCTTCCCAATGCTGCAACCCTAAAGTTCCTCATGTTGTGGTGATCCCAACTACAAAATTATTTTTGTTGCTACTTCTTAACTGTAATTTTGCTGCTGTTATGAATCATAATGTGAATATCTGTGTTATCCAGTGATCTTAGGCCACTGCTGTGAAAGGGCCATTCCACCCACACTGCCAAAGCGGTTGTGGCCCATAGGTTGAAAACCACTGCTTTAATGAATCTGGTCAGTTTTAGGGACTTCCTGAAGCTATTTAGGGTTATTTACCTTCCTGTTTAAGGAACCAGCAGGATGGAATGTTCTAATCTCAGAGGAAACTGTTGTGCAACATCTACATAGACATACACTTACTCTCTATGTATTATGTATATAATAAAACCATGATATATTAGAGTTATTTAATACCTCTAGTTTTTTTTTTTTTTTGGTTTTTTCGAGACAGGGTTTCTCTGTATTGTTTTGGAGGCTGTTGGTCCAGCCTGGCCTCGAACTCACAGAGATCCGCCTGCCTCTGCCTCCCGAGTGCTGGGATTAAAGGCGTGCGCCACCACCGCCCAGCCTAATACCTCTAGTTTTAATGCAATACCCTAGGGTTCATTTTAGCATTCCCCTTTGCTTGATTTGTAATCTCTCAATCACTGAGAAGCCTAGTTCTCATTATCTAAAACTATTTACTTGTTTGTTCAATTCTAGTACATAATTTCATAATTATGATTCCATGTCCCCATTAGAAGCATTTACCACCTGCACTGATCTATAATTCTTTGCCTTGGATTAGATAATCTAGTAAACCAGTGAGGTTTAGGCATTACTGCTTCTCTTTGATTGTACCAGTGTGCACTCCCACCAGCCCTGCCATAGAGCACCCTTACCCTCAACAGAATGTACTGCCGTACTTTAAATTTGTGCCAATAGTAGGCGAGAAAGGTTATCTTGGCACTGTTGTATTTGCATTTCTGGGGGTATTATCCCTATGTTTACTCTGTCCTCATCTCTTATTTTTTTCTCTGACCTATCTTATATTAGAAGTTCTACAGTGAAATCTGTGTTGCTATGTCCCTATCTGTCTCCTCTGTTTAGTCTTTGTTTTCAGAAAGATAATTGCTCTAACTTAACATAAAATCATGATTATATATTCATTATGGATTGTGTATTTAACTGTTAAAATGCCTTTTCATATTCAATGCTTTGCAACTTAAAAGATAAAGATTTTTAAAATAGCTTTGTTTCATCTTCCTGATGACTCCTGTATCCCAATCCTCAAGTGTGGGAGTATCTACCTGAAATGGACACATCTCCAGTATTGTTTCCAAACAGACAGAAGAGAGTGACAGCTGGGTTGTTATCATTCACTATTTTTACTGAAAGTATATTGGGATTTGTGTTTAAAATGTTTTATCAAGGCCAAGTACTCCAAGTGATAATGTCATTGGCTCTGGAGATGAATTAGGGAAGAGAAGGGACCCTGATGCCCAGCTAGCCTTTTCTGCGTTTTCAGTTTGGGACAGTATGCATACGTTTCATCCAAAACAATACAAACCTTACACATGGGCTTGCACACACCACGAAGAGATGCAATGCCACCTACAATAGTACTGTGGAGGATGATCAGTCCTCTTTCTGAGAAATAAGAATGTTGGGTGAAATACTGAAAAACAAAGTAAACTGAATGTACCTCTTAACTAACATCAATGTAAAAAAGACTCAGATCAGAGCAAGGTGAGCAGGAACCCAAAGAGGTAGGTGGACCAGTAGCTGGCTTTTGCCAGAAGGTGCTTGTCTAGCTAGGGGAGGCTGACCTAGATTCCCAGCCTTATGATCCTGGGGCAGAATGAATATCCTAGGGCCTGGTGGAAATGCAGATTCTTTCAATAAAGTGAACTATCTCAGTAGAGCAGCAAACTAAAAGTAAGTTCCTACTGACCTTTTCAACCCCTGGAAATAACTCTGGTCCTGAATGTGGAACAAACATAAGAAAAACCAAGCCCTTATTCCGATTTCAGCTACAATCTAGTATCTGGAAAGTGTAGACATGGAGTTGAGGATGGAGTGTAAGAAACCCATGAACTGTAGTTTTCCTTTTGTTGTAAGAAGCAAGGCAGATCTTGTCTGGAGGAGGACACCTCCTTCTCAGGCCTCATGGATATTCCACAGCTAATGTTCTGAGATGTGAACAGCTAGCTCACAGAAGACAAACAAAGCAAGCAACTACGAACCTCGGGCCACTCTGGAGTAGCAGGATGGAGTAGGAAATGAGTGCCTATGGTTCCAGACAGGAGACGCTTGAAGATGACCACAATGTTGAATGAAAATAGCCAGTCCCAGAAAAGCAACCACAGTGTGGCTCCATTGAGCTAAAGAAACTAATAAGGTAAACCCAAGTACTGTTTTAGGAGTACAATCCTAGGTGCTAAAAGCTACAGAGGAAAAAAAAAAAAGCTCTGGTTCTCAGTGCTACCCTCATCCATGTCACAAAGCTGTGGTTTAAGGAAACTACTTACTGGATATGATTTTTTTTTCTCAGTTCTTCACAGAAAAAACATAATAAGCTTGGAATTATTATTGCTGATGGTACTTTTTCTTTTCTTTTGCAGCAAAATGAGAAGATGAAGTAGACAATGGATCTTAGTTTCTCAGTTCTCAAAGCACAAATCAGAAGAGAAACGTAACTAGGACCAAGACATGAAACATGAAGAATATTCTGTTTGGTTTTCACATGAAGAAGAGTTCTGTTGTTTTCTTTTTTTTTCATTTTGGGGGAGCTTTCATGGATTATTGCTTTGTCTATTCTTACATTGAGGTATATGTGCATAAAATAGCTATATTTCAAATAGCAAACTTTTTTTTAAAAAGCATTGGTCATCACATACCTTGTTAATTTAAATTTCTATCAAGTATTATTTAACCATTCAACTATTTTCCTTTTAAACAAATAAATACTTCTGCACTGGTTATCTTATATCTTGTTTTTTGCTTTTGAGCCATTCAGTATACATGAAGATCAAAGAGGGTTTGAAAATCATCTCCTGTCCAACCTGTTGCCATTCTGCTTTTAGAAATACTTATTAGGAGCCGGGCGTTGGTAGCACATGCCTTTAATCCCAGCACTCGGGAGGCAAAGGCAGGCGGATCTCTGTGAGTTTGAGGCCAGGCTGGACCGACAGCCTCCAAAACAATACAGAGAAACCCTGTCTCGTAAAACCAAAAAAAAAAAAAAGAAAAAGAAAAAGAAAAAGAAACACTTATTAGGGATGAGCACTTTTTTTTTTAAATCGCTTCAGCTATATGTAATCTTATGATCCAGGCAGTGTTAGCTATGAAGGTTACTGTTATCTCAGCAGGATCTAGGGTCACGTCAGAGACAAACTCTGAGCGTGTTGTGAGTGGCTTTCTAGACTAAGGAAGGTGGGCAGGGCAGCAGCAGCTCACAGACTGGGGTCGTGTATGAGGGAAACGGAGAAGCTGATCCGAACACCAGCCTGGATCTTTGTTTCCTGACTGGGATGAGAAGGGAACAGCCACCTCACATTCCTGCTGCCCAGCCTTCTCCACCATGCTGGATTTGATCCCTTCAAACCACAAACTGATAAACCCTTACTCACTTACTCAAGCTACCTGTCAGGTATTTGTCCCAGAAAAGTAGCCAATACCCAACTTTCCCAGATCCTATTTGAATTTTATTTATTCTTTTAATACATGTGTATTTGTCTATGTGAGTGAATGCCATGAATGGAGGCAAGAGGGAGCCACTGAAGCTTGAGTTAGAGGCCATCGGGAACTGCCCGATGTGAGTGGTGAGAACTAAACTCAGTCCTCTGGAAGAGCAGCAAAGGCTCTTAACCACTGAGCCATCCCTCAGTCCACATAGGGAAGGGAGGCTGGGCTTACTTATTGCCCTGCCTTCTCTCTCAGATTTATTAAAATTATGCGGGTGTGTGCAGGTAAGTGCAGGACCCTGAGGGATCCAGAAGAAAGCCATGGGCGCTAGGAACGGCACTTGGGTTCTCTGAAAGAGCATGAACTGAACCGACTCTAGCCCACTTTCAGGCACGTTTCAACTTGTTTCTTACAATGTGAAGGAATAATTCTACTTGTGCCCACAGCTGTGGGGAACCAAACATTGAAAACATAAGCTTATGGGGAGAATTCCTATTCAGATCCTTCCAGGTAAACACTTCAATTCCAGTTAACCATTATTTCACTTCTATTAACATGACTGAAAAGCAATTGGCCCTTAGTTTGATTTGTCTGAAGGTCAGATAACATGATCTGTTTAGAGAAAAGTTACTGATTAATGAACCCGTGATCTTCTCTTAGGAATAGTTGACCATTAACAAACACATTTTTTGTTGGAGAACAGGTAGAAATAAGAGTTTTAAAACATGAGTCTGAGTTCCAGGACAAGCTCCAAAACAATATAGAGAAACCATGTCTCAAAAAAAAAAAAAAAACAAAAAAGCAAAAAAAAAAAAAATGAATCTACTTCATCTACAATTACACTAGTATTACTCAAGCCGAATGATCTCCAAAATTAATGATTTTGAAAGTCAAAGCAAATGAAGCTGAAGAGTTTTTATTTTCCTTGATTATGATTCTCCAGCCATGCAAAGCTTTTCTTATCTAGTCACATGTCTGTTTCCTTAAAACATTTGCTAGTGATGGAAATAGCATCTTTGTCTTGTTCCTAATTTCTATGAGAAAGCCTCTTCTGAAAGAGTTGGTATCATGGCCAGAACACCTGTTATGATTGCATCTCAGCATAAAGAATCATATTTGAGAGTTTTTGAAATCCCAGTTGGTGCTGACTTTGTCAAGTGCTGCTTGGAGCTTATAAAATTTGATTAGCCAAGAGATCCAACCAAGAGATAAAATGCACAATTATTGTTTGCTGTAGTCTAGAACTGAGAAGGCAAGGGAGAGGAGCACCTGGGGTACCACAAAAGTGACTCCAGAAATCACCCACACACCTTCTCTGAGGTGGGACACAGAAAGAATGGAATTAAACTCCAAGACAGGCTGGAGAGATGACTCAGACGTTAAGAGCACTGGTTGCTCTTCTAGAGGACCCAGGTTCAATTCCCAGTAACCACATGGTGGCTCAAAACCATCTATAATGAGACTTGGTTCCCTCTTCTGGCCAACAGGCATAGGGGCAGGGTGACATTATATACATAATAAATCTACAAAACAAAACACACCTCCAAGTGTGAGCCCTGGGCCTCTTGCTGGTTCCCCAGAAGAGATGTGATGACTGATCTGCTAGTGTGGATCAGCAGATGCTGCTGGAGTAGGGAAGTATGGACTCTGGGTAACAATAGCAAGTGGTCTAGGACTATTTACTCTTCAATGGAATGATATGATGAACACAACCAGAGATTTGTTGATACTGAAACCTTATGTTGTTTTGCTGGCTCAAAACACAGGATTCCCCTGCCTTGGCTACCAAATGCAGGAAGAATTACAAGTGTGAGTCACATTAAACCAAACTCCACTTTTTCATACATGCCAGCCATCATCATCTCAACTCTAACTTGACACTTTCCTGTATGGTACCAAGACTGACAGTTTTCTGTTCTTTGCTAGCTGATCTGTTTTAACACTGCCGACGGGGCCACCAGAGGAGAATAGTACACAGGGCAAAGGGCTTTTTTTTTTTTTCTAATGACTGACACTTTTGTCAGCGTCACCCTAGCAATGGCATTTTGCCCAACCGTACCAGTTGGTTCCAGTTGCCAGCTTGCTTCAGCATTCCCAGAATCAGCCTGCTGTTCAGTCTGGAGCTGTGCACCTCCGTGAGAGGCCACAGCCTGCCTTCTCACAAGACCCCTCCTCCTCCCTTTCAGCCCTCCTCACAAATCTCAGGTCTGACCCCTGAAAATCCCCCTCCTGAGTTACTGACAAAGACTGGCAGTGACCTCCCTCAGAGGTTCCCCAGATAGCTAGGTTTTATTTAGCAGCCCCTTTTCTTTGTTTTTTGTTTATTTATTCCAGATAGGCTTTCTCTGTAGCTTTGTAGACGAGGGTGGCCTCGAACTCACAGAGATCTGCCTCTCTCTGCCTCCCCCAAGAGCTGGGATTAAAGGCATGCTCCACCACCACCCGGTGCCACTTCCCTTTGTTACCACAGTTGGTTCTTACCCATTGCTGGAAGCAGCAAAACTATATAGAAAAGATTGTGACGTATCCAGAAAGTTTACATATACATCTACTATTTGTTTCTGCAATCCCACTTTTGGGAAACTATCAAAAATTCTCTTAGACGAATGTCAGGGTGCCATGGTACGTGCTAACAAACAAGAGCAGGAAAAGCGCCCTATCCACCGCTACCACCACAGCAAGTCTAACAACTGCCAATGGTCCTTTGAAGAACCTGTGAAATGAAAGTATCTTTTCACTCAGTTGTTGACCTAGAAAGGGAAAACTGTCATTGGAGAAGATTCAGTTTGCATCTCCAGCAGAATATGATGCAGGGATAAAAAGAATCCCCCCCCCCCCGTTTTATTGATACTATAATATTGATGTTTTTGTTTTTGAATAGATGTATGGAGAAAATAAAGCAAATAGCTTGGGTTTTTTTTTTGTATTTACTTTCTGTGTATGTGTGCACACAGGTGTGTGTGTGTGTGTGTGTGTGTGTGTGTGTGTGTGTGTGTGTATGTGTGTGTGTGTGTGTGTTATGTGCATGCCTGGGGCCCTGGGACATCAGAAAAAGGAAGTCAGATTCCCTGGAACTAGAGTTACAGATGACTGTGGGGGTTGGAAATTGAACTCTGTTAGAATAACAAGTGCTCTTAACCACTAAGCTGCCTCTCTAGGCTCTAGTTTAAGATTTGAGAATCCATATTGTTGGCATCAGGACAATGGTACAATTAATTCTAGCTCTTGCTCTGTGCACTATTGCTGATACAGAATGCCCAACACTGGACAGTTTATAAGGAAGACAGGTTTGTTCTACTCCTGATTTCTGGAAGCTCTTAACCCCTATCATCCCCCAGCCCCTGTTAGCAGTATTCTTCAAAAAAGAAAATGTATGCCAGGTATGGTGGCACACACTTGCACACCTTTAAACCCATCACTCAGGAGGCCGATGCTGATAGGTGTCTGTCAGTTCAAGGCCAGTAAATGTCCAACCAGCATAGCTATATAGTGAGTCTTTGCTGCAGGAAAGGAAGGATGAAGGGAGGAGGAGGAAGGCAGGAAGGAGAAAAGGAAGGAAGGAACAAGTAGGAAGGAAGGCAGGAAGAAGGAAGGAAGGAGAGTGTGTGCACACACACACGCTTTGTGTCTACTGATGCATTTAGGGGTAAAACACTGTGTCTGAAATTTGCTTGAAGATATCCAGGAAGCCAGGAAGTGTTAACCGCTTACCACTAGAGCTCCTGCTGGAGTTGTGAGATGTGGGTTATTCTCTTCTATTTACAATCTTGGCAAGTTTTCACAATGAAAATGTTGTGTAGCCCAGCACTCAGGAGGCAGAAGCAGAGGCAGGCAGAGATCTGTGACTTCAAGTCCAGCCTGGTCTACAAAGAGTTCCCAGACAGCCAAGGCTACACAGAAAAACCCTGTCTTGGGGGAGGGGCGGTGCGTTTGCATGAACAATATAATCTAGGAGGGTGTACTAAGTTAAATGAGGTCTGAAAATGAGTTTGATCTCATCTGAGATGTGCCAAGTTTTATAATGTAACGAGAGAGAGAAAAAGTTACCTTCTTTTACAAGCATGTGGATAAGTATTCCCAAGTAAATAAACACAGTTATTTGTTGTTAATGGCACTGGACTCTGAGGATGTGACTCAGCAGTCTGACCTCCCCTTAAACAAACTGAGAGAATTCAAAGCAACTGGAAGCCAAGTCCAATAAGCTAAACAGTTGTTGGCAAACGGTTACCAAAGCAAAGACTGGAGACTTTCTGATCTGCAGCGCTGCTATGATGCACAACCCGTTCCATCGATGC